TTTAGATTCGATGAAAGGGACTCCATGCTAAGTGGACGTTTCTGAAAATAAGAGAATCCTTATGGGGATCTCTCTCAAGGAATGAATCGTTTTCTTTTTTTTTTATTTCTTTTGAGAGAAAGCTTGTGCGCCTGTAAGCAGAGGAGAGGCAGAGAGAGAGAGAGAGCATCCCCAGAAACCTCCGTGCTGTCGGCGCGGAGCCCAACGTGGGGCTCGATCTCACGAACCATGAGATCGTGACCTGAGCCGAAATCAAGAGTGTGACGCTTAACCGACTGAGCCCCCCAGGCTCCCCTCAAGGAATGAACCTTAAAAACAAATAAAACCTCTGTGCACGGGAATCCCCGAGACAGCCCGACCTGTCAGGCTCTACAGCAAAGACGTTGATCGGATGAGACCGAACTTAGACATGAATCAGGGAGGAGCGAATCCTGCCGTTCAGGAACGGGTACCTCTGGCCGTTTTCAGACCATACGTCCTCAGAGATACTTCAGTGCCCCCACTAGGGCTCGAGGGCTCTTTCACAAAAGGGTATTTTGAAGAGTCCTGAAGCTTGTCAATAGCCCTCAAAGGGCAGGGATGGGGAAGGAGCCAAGGGCGGCAGTTAGGCCCCCCGCCCACGCAGGTCGAGCCACTTTATTTCATATTCCAGGTTCTGCCTAGGGGTTTTCATTGGAGAAAGGGTCTTACTGCTAAACAGGTTTGAAAACCATCACTCTAGACTTTTTAAAAAACTGATAAAATATACGCAACGTGAAATCGGCCGCCATCAGCATTTTTAAGTGTACGGTTCCGTAGTGTTAAGCATATTCGCGCGGCTGTGCGGCCATCACCACCATCCACCTGCAGCACTTTTTCGTCTTAGTTCTTGCAAAACAAACTCTACACGCCTTCAATGATTCCCCATACTCCCCTCCCCCGCGTCTCTACTCTCAACTTTTTTTTTTTAATTTTTTACTATTTATTTATTTCTGAGAGAGAAAGAACATGAGCAGGGGAGGGGCAGAGAGAGAGAGAGGGAGACACAGAATCTGAAGCAGCTCCAGGCTCTGAGCTGTCAGCGCAGAGCCCGACGCGGGGCTCGAACTCATGAATTGCAAGATCATGACCCGAGCCAAAGTCGGGCACCCAACTGACTGAGCCCCCCAGGCGCCCCTCCACTCTCGACATTTTAAAGGCACAAGGAACGGGTGGCTTCAGGTACAGAAAACAATTACCCGTGTTGGTTGAAAGATACCATATAAATACACAAACACTTTCTCTATGTTCTGAACTCGAAGTAAGGAAGAGTTATATTCAGCGGCGATGCAGGTGTACGAAGTCGTTTTAGACTCGAAAGCATCAAGTGCGTGTATTCGTGCTTTTGTTTTTACTACCAGGTCGGCACCCTGAAGCGTTAGATAAAGAACCCAGCCGGTTGAATGAGCCTCAGAGCCTGACCTCTCTTTTCATACCTTTGTTTTCTACTTAACAGGGACACACAGATCTAAAAGAAAGGAATAGGATTTTGTCTTTGTCCCTGTAACAGTCGGAACAAAAACAGCACAGGATCAGCACGGCTGTCCGGGGCTCCATTCCGTCCCTTCTATGTTGTTGCCCTGGCAACCCTGAGGTATTTTATTTGTTAATTAAGAAAGTAATACAGCTTTGGGGCGCCTGGGTGGCTCACTCGGTTAGGCGTCCAACTTCGGCTCAGATCATGATCTCACGTTTCGTGGGTTCGAGCCCCGTGTCGGCCTCTGTGCTGACAGCTCAGAGCCTGGAGCCTTTTTCATATTCTGTCTCCCTCTCTCTCTGACCCTCCCCTGCTCACGTTCTCTCTCTCTCTCTCCCTCTCCCTCTCAGAAATAAATAAAACATTAAAACATTTCTAAAAATAAATAAAATAAAATGAGGATTCTGGCCCCAGAGCTGACGTTCAGGGGCCGTCTGACTGGTGATCAAGTCAGATGCTGTTCTTAGAAGATTCCCCAGGCCACGGACTCACCCACCCCGGAGCCGGGTGAGGGCAGAGCCTTCCACCTTTTCTGCCATGTCAGGCAAACGCACAGGGGCTGCCTCAGGCCCTTTGCCCGACAAGGAATTCATTCCCGCCAGGTGTGACGTGTCATCCCCAGCGGCTGGAGATGGATGGCGAGGGTCCTGACTGGGCCGTGGTGTCCTGGGAGACTGCGCGCACAGGCACTCACAGGAGGTGTGGGGAGGTGCGTGTGCATAACACGCGAGAGGGGCGCCGTGCAGGGGCTGGGCCGGCTGGGACTCAGGGCCAAGACTCAGCGTGTGCCCGGCCTTCACGAGTCCCCTACCTTCGGATCAAGTGCCAGTACCTTTGCATCGAGCGGGTGGGGCCGGCCGCGGCCAGATGCCCGCCGCTGCTGCTGGGCACGCAGGGAGCCGCTTCAGGCCTCCCCGGTGGTTGGGGCAGAGCCGGTTGCCGGTCCCAGACAACAGCTGCTTTGCCAAGGCCACCCACGCCACTTGCGGGCCTGGCCACCGACACCCGTGCTTTCCTGTCCGCGCTCTGCCCGCCCACCGGCCAGAGGATTGCAGGGCAGGGGCGTGGAGGGGGCAGAAGGCCTGCTGGCGAGCAGCCGACGGTGGCCAGGTGTGAGGGGCCAGCTGCTGGCAAGGTGGGGGTGGTCCCAGCCGCCGGGGGAAGTCACCTCGGCAAATTCTCCACGTGCCGCCTGGTTTTGAAGATGCTCGTGGAGGAGGTAGTCATGAGGATCCTGGCACGGTGGCCGTGGGATAGATGGGTGATGGTGACAGAGATGACATTTTGCTTATAACGGGGCTATGGCTGGTCGGTGCTTGAGAAGGGCCCGCGGTGGGGGCAGCGCGCCTCGCGGCGCTGATGCCTGTGGCCCAGGTGGGGACGACGAAGGGCGGCCAGTGTGAGCTGGCGCGCGGGCGCCCTGGACGTGGTGTTGATGGCCGTCAGGGGCCGTGGGGCCTGCAGGAGACCGCGGTGGCCGCGGCGGGCGGGCGTGGTAGCGGGATCTGTGGACGCTGGGTTGGTGGCCGTGGGACGAAGACCATGGGGACAACGGAGACGGCAAGTTGAACTTCCTGGTGCGCCTGTCTCCCTGGGGAGTCTCGTGTGAGTCCGCCCTCCCCCTCAGGAGACCCCCGCCCTCGCTGCTGCCCACGGGGACGTCACCCTCTGCCTTGATGACGGTGTGCCGCCCGGGCTCCTGGCAGGGGCTCATGCGACCAGCCATCTGGCCAGTAGGATCAAGGCGTGTGGTCACTGCTGTTCCAGGCCCGTGGCCGCATGTGTTGGCCTCCGGAAGGGGGGGCAGCAGCACTTCGCCTGGGGCCCGGGGCTGCCGAAGGACCTTAGTTTGAGGCAGTTTTCAAGGGGTCACTTTTCAGGTGTGAAAGGGGACCTCTCTGGGGTCACGCCTGTGAAGTGACCGCCCGGGCCCTGGGCCCGTGTCCTCCGTCCGGTGGGGGGGCCACACAAGAAGGCCCCGTGGGGGGTGCTTCACGCAGGGCCGCACACCCACCAAGTGCCAGCGTCCTCTGTCGCCCCAGGCAGCCCCGTTCCGGCCCATCTGACGGCACGACTCACCGACTCCAGCCTGTGGCTCCGTCCAGTCGTGACCTGTTGACACACAGGTCCTTTTTCTCTTCTGGATTTACGTGCCAGCCCTTAAGTCAGGGGTTTCCACACACAAGTGTACGTTTCCCATCTCTCCGGAAGGATGGGGACACAGCGTCCGCATCCGCGCGGTTTGCCACAGCCCCCTCCTCTCGCCAGCGCGCGTCTGCTCCCCCGAGTTGGGGCCTGCGGCTGCAGCCTCAGCTCCGTGGCCCCGTGCCCGCCGGCGGTGCCTGTGCCTGCCTGCCCTTCCCCATGGCACGCTCTGAGCCCCAGGCCCACCGCACGGATCTCCCGGAGGGAAGGACCTTACGGTAATCATCCAGGCGGCAACAGGCCTGGAAATGCTCTCATACGGCGGAGCGATGTTTGATTAGTTTAACTGCTGGCACCAGAATCCTCTGAGGGAGAGAAGAGGCTTGTTTGGAGAGTTTGGTGCCCGTTGCTTGGGTAGATAGAGGTGGGACTGCAGAGTTTGGCGTGCCTGATGTCAGCACCTGGGGTTGTTCCCACGAGAAAGGGAAGAATTTCGTTTCTTTAAAAAAAAAATGTGTTCAATGTTTATTTTTTTTTAATTTTAGTAATTTTTTAAAAAGTGTATTCCTGAGAGACAGTGTGAGCAGGGGAGGGTCAGAGAGAGAGGGAGACACGGAATCTAGCAGGCTCCAGGCTCCGAGCAGTCAGCGAAGAGCCTGACGCGGGGCTCGAACCCACGAACCGCGAGATCATGACCTGAGCCGAAGTCAGAGGAGCCCCCAGGCGCCCTTCTTTTGTTCCTGAAGAAAGATGGAGAGAGAGGAGGGAGGAGAGGGGCTTACGGGAGAAGACGGAAAGGCTGGGGCCGTGGGGGCAGGTGGTCGTGGCCGGACAGAGGCCCGAGGCCATCTGGGAAGCGGTGGCAGGTCGGTCACCGAGATGGGCCTCGCTCGTCTCCCGCTCTGCCCCTGCTCTGGCAGGAGAGCACGCTTTCCGCGGAATTCGGAGGCGAAACAAGTCTGCCCGGGCCTCCAGGGCCCCGTGCGGGAGGCGGGCGAGCCCCTGACCCGCGCGCCCCCAGGAAGGGCCCACCACGTCCCCGGGGCGTGGAAGCGGGGCGGCTGGCGCGGGGGCGGTGGAGGGCCCCGGGGCAGAGGTGGGCCCGGTGGGCACCTGGTTTTAACAAAAGGGCCCCCGGTTCTCGAAGGAGCCAGAAAAAAAGTTCTGAGCTTGGATGAGACGGCTGAGCAGCCAGTTTATTCTGAGTTAGTGGGGGCTCCGGGTGACCAGGCCTGGCGGGCTCTGGGGAAGGGCTGCGGCGTGGCCTGGACCGGGGGCGTGGCCCAGGCATTGGGGGCGTGGCCCGGGGCCTGATCCGGGCTGGGGGCGGGGCCCAGGCATTGGGGCGGGGCCAGGGGCTGGGGCGGGGCCCGGGGCCGGGGGCGTGGCCTCAGCCCAGGGTCTGCGGGGCCGTGCACAGCAGGCCGGCCAGCAGAGCCAGGCCCAGCGTGGCCACGGCCGCCAGCGCCACGTCGCACCAGACGCCCGGGTAGGCCCAGGGCGCCCGCAGCTGCCAGCCGCAGCTGCCCAGCTGGTAGCCGGTGAGCTGGCCGAGCGGGCGGCCGGCGGCGAGCTGGGGGCTGGCGCAGCGGACGCGCTGCAGGGCCTGCGGCTCGCGGTCCTCCAGCCAGAGGCGCAGGTAGGCGAGGCCGCAGTCGCAGCGCCAGGGGTTCTGAGTCACGTCCAGGGTCTGCAGCTGGGGCAGGCGGTCGAAGGCGCCCGGAGGCACGGAGCTGAGGCTGTTGTTGGCCAGCAGCAGGTGGCGGGTGTGCGCGGGCAGCGCGGGCAGGGCCGTGAGCCCCCGGCCCCCGCAGTCCACCGCCAGCCCCATGGTCTCCAAGGCCCGGCAGGTGCACTCCGCCGGGCAGTCCTCGGTGGCCGCGGCCGCGGCCCAGAGCAGCAGCAGGGACCCCCAGGTGGGCATTGGCAGGCTGGCTGTGGGGACAGTGGCCGCGAGGTGAGGGAGGGCCCGCGGCCAGCACCCCGTGCCAAGGGCCAGCGGGCTTGACCTGGGACAAGGGACAACCCGCCCCCCCCTTCTCAGGCCTCAGCTTTCCCTCTGTGAAATGGAGCGGTGAAGACAGAAGGCAGGCTCCCAACCCAGGCCTGGCTGAGCCTCACTGGACACTAGGAAGGCAGGACGGTGAGCGTGGCTGTGATGGGGGAGGGGAGGGGGGTGAGAACGTTCCTGGGAAGGGACCTCCTGGCCCCTCGCAGAGGCCCCAGCCCCAGCTCGGGGGTGAGGGGCACCGAGGCCTGCTAGAAAATTCCGCGTTATGACCCCAGGCCCCAGGCTCCTCCAGGCCCCTACATCAGACCCTGGGGTCAGGCTGCTGGGGTGGGTTTCACAGACCCCACCTGGTCCCACCCGTTCTAAACCGCCCGCGTGCCTGTGGCCGAGTGAACGCTGAGGTGAAAGCCAATGTGGGCAAGTGGGTGCGGCAGGGAGGTTCCCTGTGGAAAGCCACGCGTGGGGGGGTAATGCTCAGAGTTGGGGGAAGGGAGGCCCGAGAGGAGAGTGACAGCGCAGGGTCACCGAGCGAGCGATCTGCGTCAGAGAACGGACTCCGACTCAGGCCTCGTGAGCTCCAGGCGGCTCCTGCCTGGTCACTGACTTCCCCAGGAGCGGCCCCCCTTCCCAAGACAGGCCCTCCCCCCAGGGCCTGGCCCGCCGCACACTTGCTGTGAATATGAGTTGAATAAACCCAGGAGCCGGTGTCTTGGAGCGAGTCCCCCCGCCCAGTCCCATCTGGAGCCGACCCGAAGGTGGGACACAGGCATGCCTCCTCGGTGGCTGGCCTCCCCGGCCAGGCCCTGCCCCCCGTCCCACCTGGGGTGGGGGGGAGGCAGTGCTGGGTAATGAGGGCCACTTACTTGTGAGGCCTGCAGTTGGCACCCCCTTCGGCGGCCTCAGCTGTCCTGGTTGGGGCTGAAGTGCAGCTGCATGCAAGGGAGCCAGTGGTGGTGGCCGCTCTTGAGTGACAGGAAGGAAGTGATGAAAACAGCCTGGCTTATCCCCCCACTGCAGCCTGGGGGGCACTATCTCCGGGGGCAGCCGGCGCTCGGGGATCCGGGGCCTTGGGCCCAGAACGGTAGGTTGATCCTGGTGTACGGAAGGGGGTCCCGCGAGCTATGCCATGTGCCACAGCGCCTCACTGGGCCTCCGTACAGGGTCTTCGGGAGGACCTGGGAGTCCCCTCCCCAGGGCGGGCGGGGGGGGATGGTTTCCAGGAGAAGCCTCGGAGCTGAGCGGCTTCGCTCCTTGTTCCTCCAAATCGCAGATTTTCTCATCTGTAAAATGGGAGCAATAAGAGCTGTCCTGCTTGAGCACAGGGTGTGGGCGGGGCAACTCCCACGGGCTGAGAATCCCATGGGGGTTTTTCATTTTCTTCGGTCCTTCGGAATAGGTCAAGGAGAAGGTCACTTTCTGGCGCCACTGTGTCTTCAGCACCTTCTAACGCTTCCTGGTCCTGTCCTTTTCTGTCCCAGGACACCGCAGTCTGGGGCTCCGTTTCCATCAGACATCGGTCTCTAGCTAGAATTTAAAACCGTTTTTAAATTTACATTATGTTTATTTCTAGAACTACACTTGACTTAGGGGAGTGACAGCAGCTTTCCATTTATGTTAACGATATAAAGTTCCCTTTAAAAGACCAATGTATTTTGGGGGCGCCTGGGGGTCTCAGTCAGTTAAGCACCCGACTTCGGCTCAGGTCATGATCTCACGGTTCATGAGTTTGAGCCTCGCATCGGGCTCTGTGCTGACAGCTCAGAGCCTGGAGCCTGTTTCAGATTCTGTGTCTCCCTCAGTCTCTGTCCCTCCCCCACTCGCTCTCTGTCTTGCTCTCTCTCAAAAATAAATAATCAAACAAAAAAAATTAAATGCCCCCTGAACACGCTACCCTAGACCCACGAGAACATTCCTTGTGTTCACACAGAATGTGGGCGTTTTATTTTTTTAGCGTCTGGCAGCGCTCAGCCCGCTTCTAGGCGTGGAGTGGCCACCATCCACGTGTGTGTCCGTCACCCGCACAGGGCCTCCCTGAGGGCAGGAACCGTCTCCAGGGCCCGGGGACAGTGCCGAGGTCAGTGCCTGCACGTCGCAGGTCCTCACTGAGTCCGCGCTGGGTGCTTGCAGGAGGAGCCCATGCTTGGACTCTGTCCGATCCCATCCGCAGGGAGGACCCTGGCCCTTTTCTAACCTGACCCCTCACTGTGTGGCTGCCGGATGCTGGCAGGAAGCCAGAGGGGAGGCGCGGCTCGCCCGAGCGGCCTTCTGCCCCCAGGACACCTGGGATTGGGTTTGCTTGTGTGTGTGTGTGTGTGTGTGTGTGTGTGTGTTTAATATTTATTTTTGAGACAGACAGAACATGAGCAGGGGAGGGGCAGAGAGAGAGGGAGACACAGAATCCAAAGCAGGCTCCAGGCTCTGAGCTGTCAGCACAGAGCCCGACATGGGGCCCGAACCCACAAACCGCGAGATCAGAACCTCAGCCAAAGTTGACTGAGCCCCCCAGGCGCCCCTGTTTTTGCCCGTTTTGTCCGCACAGAGCTGGGCTCAGGGCTCGATCCCACGAACCATGAATCACAACCTGAGCCACAGTCGGACGCTCAACTGGCTGAACCACACAGGCGCCCCAAGGCCTTCTTGTTCCTTCGTGTGCGCCCCTCTCAGGCTAGCGTCCTGGCCGGGGCACCCTGCTAGCCCCGGGGGGTCCTTGGGTTCTCACCCTCCACTCGGCCCAGCTCTGCTCTCCGGGAAGGAGCCGGGCATCACCTTCCCGGGAAGCCCAGCAGTACCAGGCCACCAGGAGTGCCCGAAGGGCCGGCCCCCCCAACCTTCCGATGCCCGCCCAGAGCGGGGTGGGAGGGTGGCATCGGTCCCCGGAATCATGCGTGCCGTGAAGATCGCTTCCTGCAGGGGGTCACCTGGCAGAAACTTGGTGAACACACTCCTTGGAGCCTGGACCCCAGACAGGACTTGTGGACGGACTGGCCTTGTGGGGACGGACTCCCAGTGAGTGGGGGTCCCCCAGCCCCCCAGGCTGCGTTTCCTGACCTGACCCGACCTACTTGGGCCTCTGAGAGCTTCTTGTTTTTACCATGTACAATTAAAACAAAAAGGGGGGGACAGAGGAGAACTCATTTTTGTGGTGGCAACATCGAACGTTCAGACGCGCAGGTGGGAAGAAGACAGTAACATGTTCCCTCAATTCTAATACCAGGCGGGCTTGCCTTTGGGTTTTTTCCTGTGTGTACTTTTTTTTTTTCTTACCCGAATCGGGTCACTTGGGGCCCACGCTCTTTCTGGAACCTCCGTTTCCCACCTGTGAAACACCCACATGTGTCCCCAGCATTGGCCAGGATTCCACTGTAGGCATGTGGCACCTTTTATTTCAGGAATCTCTGGGCGTAGGGAACATGCCCCGCTCTCCTTATCTCGGTCGGACAGGCCTTCGTGGGGGCTGAGCGGGGAGGGGGCAGCTCTCGGGGCTTCCTGAGGTGGGGAGGCTCCTCCTTCCAGGGCTGCCCGAGTTGGCTGACCTGGTCGGTTACGCCATTTTCCCTGTGGAGAAACAGGCATTCTCCGCTCCTGCGCCTTCAGGCTCCTTCCTAGGTCCCCCCCTACTGCCTATACATGGAGGCCCCTTCTGTCTGGCCCCCTCCTCCTCTCAGTCTGCATACACGCCTATGACCTCTTTCATTCTGGAAAGATCTGCGTGTGTGTGCGCGCGCGCGCAGGTTTCCAACACCACCGCCCGCCCCCTCGTCCCCGTGGGCTGATGACTGTCCCAGTCGCCACTTCCCACGGGCACCAAGTCTTCTGTCTTAGCCCCGTCACCCAGCCGGAGTCCGGGGGACCGTGAGGGACGTCCTCTGTCCCCGCCCCCGCCGCGCTGGCCAGGCGCCTCCGCCTGTCGGTGGCCTCGGTCCCCTTCGGGCGGCTCCGCTCACTCCGCGCGCCTCCTGGGCCCCGCCCTCCACCGCCTCCAGCCACGCTCGCTGCTCCCCTTCCGGGACATCCTCCGCTGCTTCCAGGACCCTGACCGCTCGCTGCTCCCCGACGCCTGTCGTCTGCCAGGCCACCTGCTGCGGTCGCTCGTCTTCTGGGAGCCCCCGCTTCACGTGCGCGGCTTCCCGGGCCCCATGAGCACCGCCCTCCCCTCTGTGATCCCAGCACCCACGCGGATGGCCCTTGGGCACCCCGGCCTCTCCCTGCAGTGCACCCTTGCCCTCTGCCCGCCCCACCCCCCCGGCCCCTCACAGTCCTACCCCAGACGGGCCGTCGCCAGCGGCCACTCCTCTTCCGGCCCTGGATTCGAGGCCGTCCCCCCGACTACACCTCCCCTTCCAGCAAAGCGTTTGAGCACAGCTGCTCTGGGCCTCTGACCTCATCACGCTCTCCAGGCCAGTGACCTGATCACGGCCCTTTCACGCTGTCAGCGTCATGGCCTCACAAGCGGACTCAGGGACGACCACAGTCCTCCAGCGCCCACGCTTCCTTTCTCGCACAGGAATACTTCAGCGGGACACGTGCCCTTCAAGCCAAAGACTACATTTCCCAGCCTCCTTCGCCCTCCAGTGTAGTCATGTGACCAGGCGTGGGCCAATGGGGGAAGAGGAAGAAGGGTTCCACTCTGCTTCCCGCGGGCTGCCGAGGGCGGGGAAGCCATCTTGGCCCATGAGGAGTAGCCCTGACTGGAGAAGAGCAGAGCAGAAAGAGCGAAGGAGCCTGGGTCCGTGATGGTTCTGGAAGGGCCGTCAGGCCCAGGCAGGTGCGCCGGCAGCCCGTGTCCCTCTGAGGGCACACGCCACCCGTCTGCCTGTGGATGTGCCCCTACATGTGGTGCCAGGCCACCTGCGATGCTGGGGCGCCTGGGCGGCTCAGCTGGTTCAGCACCTGACTTCATTCGGCTCGGCCCATGTGGGGCTGTCTGCTTCAGCACAGAGCCTCTGGCCCCCGCTCTCTCGAAAAGACAAAAAGGTCCTGCTGTTATAAGGCTGGGTGGGGAGAATTCCTAGGAGTGCCTTCCAGAACCCCACACCCTAATGCCTAGGGCGGGTGAACCTGATGGGGAGGGCCTGGTCTGCTCAGGCGAGCCCTTGAATGCAGAGAACTTTCTGTGGCTGCTGGCAGAAGCGGAGTGAGAGGGATGCCAGCAGAAAGGGCGGCTGGAGAGATCCAGATGGTAAGGCTGGGTCCACCGTAGACATGTCAAGGTGGGCACACTACCTCCTCAGGAAGGGGGCTGGAAACTGAACACACGTTTCTCTTCCTCATTCTCCACCCCCCCTTTTTTTTTTTGAGAGAGAGAGTGTGCACACAAGCGGGGGAGGGGCAGAGAGAGAGAGAGAATCCCACGCAGGCTCCATGCTCAGCGTGGAGCTGGATGTGGGGCTCGATCTCATGACCGTGAGATCATGACCTGAGCCGAAATCAAGAGTTGACGCTTAACCTTCTGAGCCACTCAGGCGCCCCCTTCTTCCTCATTCTTGAAGCCTCCCACTCCCCTTCACTTGTTTTTCTGTAGAATCCTTCGTTCTGGAACGTGGGGTCAGTACTTACTAGTGGGATTCGGACGGCCGCCTGGAAGACATGACCAACATGGCTGAATCGTACCAGATTCTTAGCAAAACTGCCCAGACCCTGTCCGTCCCTATAAAACCCCGGGCAGGTCTGAAGCAGTAGAAGGCATCTGAAGGCACGCAGAGTTTTGAAGACATTGGCCAGCTGCCTCCCTTGCCAGGCAACCTAATAAAACGCCTTCCTCTTTATCCCCAAACTCTGTCCTTCTGTCATATTTCAGCCCCAGACCGCAGAGGTTGTGACACCAAGGACTTGATGTGTGACTTCGGACTCGGAGAGAAAGCCAGAGCTGGGTGTTGCCGGCGGCTGGAGAGCCCCTGGGAAGGGACACAGCCAGCCCTGTCCACACCACGGGTTGTGAGACCTTA